CAGCTTTGTTGTATGCTGCCCAGAGTGTTCTATGGTGAGATGGGCAGCTGTATAAATTGATTTAATAAATAAATAAATCCAGTCATGTTTTGGGGATGACGGCTGGCCTGGCCTGCATCACCAAGACCTGGTTGGGCACTGAAGGGGGAGTTCTGCTCTCTGAAATGTATCCTCCTAGGTTTCAAGTGTGGCGTCAGCTGTGACTTCAGGGCAGGGGTGGTGGTATGACTGTTGTTATTCGCAAGTTTCTGGTGGCTTCTAGGGGCCCTGCGCCAGACATCAATGGATGTGAGACCCTCTTTGTGAGGCTGGGCCTTAGGGATCAGTAGGGGGTGCTGCTCACCTTCCTCACTTCAGAGTGCCCTTGTAGACCACTCAGAAGCCACGAGTAGTCCAGAATGCAGCAGTGTGGACAGAGCTGGGCCCTTTTAGGTTTGCCCATGTTACATCCTGCTTGTGTGAACTTCATTGGCTCCCAGTTTCCTTTGGGTGCAATTAAAGGTACTGGTTATCACCTTTAAAGCCTTACATGACATGGGACCAGGTTATTTGTGGGACCACCTCTCCCTGAGAGTATCTGCCCATCCTACCACAACAGATAGGGTAAACACACTCCAGGTCTCTTCCCTGAAATGTTGCCATCTAGTGGGACCTTGGAACCATGCTTTTTCTGTGGCTGCCCCTACCTTGTGGAACATCCTCCCCCCAGTGATCTGACAGGCCCCCCACCCTTTTAGCTTTCTGGAAGAGCATCAAGATCTGGCTTTTTATCCAACCAGCTTTGGATGATTGTTGGGACATCCTAGGGGATGGCTGAAGTGCCAAGTTTTAGTTTTTTTTAATGGTTTCATTCTTGTTGTGAGCCGCCCAGAGTTGTCCTTTATGATGGGTGGCCATACAAATCTTTTAAAATAAATGAATGACCAATAAGTTGCAGTTATAACTAGCTTGACTTCAGGAGATGAAGATTTTCATTAAAGTAGATGAACAAGCCTTCTGTTTGTTAGTGTGCCATTGCCATTACCATATACGCTGATATTTATCTCTTACCTGGCTGATAGGACAGCAGAGCTTTTCTTGAAACGCTCTCTGGAAATGAGAGAACGGGTTCTTGGGCCCAGTCACCCTGATTGTGCCCAGTCACTGAACAATTTAGCAGCTCTCAACAATGAAAAGAAGAACTATGACAAGGCAGAGGAATTGTATGAGCGAGCATTGAACATCAGGAGAAGAGCATTAGCACCTGACCACCCTTCTCTGGCTTACACTGTGAAACATCTGTCTGTGCTCTACAAAAAGCTGGTAAGCATTGATGCCTAACTCTCCAGGTAGTTTAGAATACAGTGCCAAAATCCCTGACCATTGATCATCACTGGCTTGGACTATGGGAGTTAGTGTCTCAAGCTGGAAAGCAAGAAGAAAGGTAAGAGAAGTTACCTATCTCTGGTTATGTACTTCTGTGCATTATGTTTGCAGAAGAGTTCAGATTGAAAAGCACTTTATTTCAGAAAGATTACTCTGGCTTGGACTATGGGAGTTAGTGTCTCAAGCTGGAAAGCAAGAAGTTACCTATCTCTGGTTATGTACTTCTGTGCATTATGTTTGCAGAAGAGTTCAGATTGAAAAGCACTTTATTTCAGAAAGATTACTCATTATCCTTCTCCAGGACTATGAAAGGAGTACATGCACACTCTCTCTCTGAGTCCATGTAGGTTTATAAGTGTGTGTCTGTTTTTGTGTCTGTGTGTGCACCTATAAAGATAAACATGTACACATAAAACTGAATGAATTGGTTTAGTTGTAAAATTTAGATTTTCTTAACACAAAATTTTAATTAGATTGTGTGGGTCTGCCCAAAACAGGAAAATATGTTTTATTTTGAGCTTGAAATAAAACAACACACCCCAAAAGCTCTGTTGAACTGTTTCAAATTGACCATGGCTCAACAGGAAAAGTGATTTGTTTTTGGTGTTCTGAGAATTTCAGTAATGGGAAATAGTGGGAACTCAAAAGAAGCCTCTTGAGCTACAGAAGTACAGACAACCACTAGACATGGCAACAAAGCGGTACAGAAACTGATTCTTTGCTGCTTTTTTAAACTATGATTTTTGGAGCCCAGGTGTGTGATAGCCCTAATCTAACCTCCCTTGAACTCTTCCTTTTTTGGCTGCTAATGTGTTATCTTTGGTTTTGGCCTTTCCCTCCCTCCCTCTTCTCACCTTCATTATAATTGGATGTACAAGAGGCACAGCTTGTGGCAGGGTTTTCTTGCAAAAGACAACTAGGATAGTGATCCTGATACCTGGATCACTTGTAACTTGGCTATAATAGTGACAAGACCCTTTGTTGGCAGCAAGTCTGTCATGAAATAAGGTCCAGGCAATTCCAAGAGAAACAAAAATCCAAAGCCTTCCTTTTCCCATGAATCCCCACATTGCTGGGAAGCACAGTTGGTAAAAATTCCATCACTACAGTGGTACCTCGGTTCACGAACGCTTCTGTTCATGACCAATTCGGGTCACGAACAGCTCCATTCGCAAAATTTTGCCTCCGCGAACGCCAGATCGGGTGACGAACAGGATCTGCGGCCATTTTCTCTCCCGTGACACATGGTCGCGGCTTCCTGTAGGGAGGGGGACTCTCCCTCCAAGCAATAACCGCCTCCCCACCCGCCTTCCTGTCCTCCATGCCAGAAGTCGCGTC